ATGCAGTAAATTTATTGTTCACTTTGTTCTTGCTCTCTTCCGTTTAACAAGTAAAGTCTACAAGTTTGTCCATTTTATTCACTGCTGGCTCCCCAGCTTCAAGATCTGGTTACGACACAGTAGATGTTAAGAAGGAAAAACAAAGAGCAGCCTTTGACATTCAGAAGCTGGCCTGGAACTCACAAATAGCCTGTTATTCTCACATCAGACTTACGTAAGCTAACAGAACACCAAGCACAGGAAGGTGCCCTGATGTGAAAAATGTGATAAGACACCGCAGGGCCATTTTATAAATTTTTCTAGGCACAGACAAAAAGAAGGTCCCTGTGCTACCTACGAAATAGCAACAACTCCCCTCAGATCAGAATGAAACACGATTACTTCTTTGCCAATTACAACTTTGTCCCCACTCTAATTTCCCTTCCCTTAAGACTTATTGAATCATTTCTACCAAGTACTAGACAGTAGTAGCACTTCTACCAGCATCCAACCCAGGGCAAACTTACCTTCCCTAGACCCTCCACAAATCCCCCGACCAAAGTCCAAATCCTATTATAGTTTCTTTGCCATTCCCTCTCACTGAGATACCCCATGGCATGTGTTCTCCCACATCATTAAGTTTTAAAAGCCAATGTGTTCAACTACAGGTGTATTCCTAGTGCTCTTCGCTGACAGTGCTCACTATTTACAGGAGAAAGAAGGAAGTAGGGAATGAAGGATTGATAATGAATATTTTGTTCCTAATGTGATTTTCACTAATTAAATTATCTACTTGGGAGTGAAGTATTCAGAATTTAATGGGAACTCCAAGCTGTGTACCTCCATCTTATAAAGTTCACCTCATCAAGTTGTTATCAAAATTTAGTTTTAGGGACTGGGGATTTAGCTCAGTGGCACCTGCACCTGCCTCGCAAGCACAAGGTCCTGAGTTCGATCCCCAGTACCAAAAAAAAAAAAAATTAGTTTTAATCTAGTCTTTCTCCAGAGCTAAGTCTTAGCAAATCTATAAAAAAGATTGTACCCCAAATTCCCATCCAATTATAATATAAAAGTATCCTGGCCCTCCCTTTATCTGACATGATCCCACACTGCCCAGAAAGAAAGAAAGAATTCCTTCCCATCCCCAAAAGATGTCCCTTCAGGGTGAAGCTTGGTAAACAGACTGGGGCTCACTCTGTCCCTCCTCTTACTTTGTTTCAGCTTCAAAACTTAGCAGAATGAAAAATTTCCTCTAAATTCTGTGGTAAGCACTTTGAGCTTTGTGACCATGAGTTGTAATCATGGTGTGTAATATGGCTATCCAAAAGTTATTTATTTTAATTTACTTATTGTATGCCTGCCATACACTGTCCTGAGTGATGCGAATTATGAGAGATACAGTGTGATGTAAAGCCATTGCTCATTTGCTCCAAAAGCTCCAAAGACAATGTAGATGAACACACACCCTTACATCTCACTATATAGAATGCAAGGATTTACATCTTATTTGTGCATTAAAAAGAAATGACTTTAAGTTGGGCCTGGTGGTGCACACCTGTAATCCCAGCAACTGGAAGGCTGAGGCAGGAAGATAGCCACGACTTTGAGGCCAGCCTGGGCTACATAGTGAGACCCTGTCTCAAAAAAAAAAA